TCCCCAAATTCCAAAATTCTAAATTTCTCAAATTCCAAAATCCCCAAATTCCAAATTCCCCAAATTCTAAATTCTTCCAATTCCAAATTCTCTAAATTCTAAATTTCTCAAATTCCAAATTCCCCAAATTTCAAAATCCCCAAATTCCAAATTCCTCAAATTTCAAAATCCCCAAATTCCAAAATCCCCAAATTCCAAATTCTCCAAATTCTAAATTTCCAAAATCCCCAAATTCCAAATTCTCCAAATTCTAAATTTCCAAAATTCAAAAATTCCAGAATTCCAGTATTCTAAAATTCTATAATTTCCAAAGTTCCAAAGTTCCAAATTTCCAAAGTTCCAAATTTCCAAAATTCCAAATTTCCAAACTTCAAAAATTTCCAAATTCCAAATTCCAAATTTCCAAATTTCTAAAATTCCAAAACCCTAAAATTGTAAAATTGTTCGTCCCACTTTCAAAAACTCCAATTTCTCACTATCCACTTTTGCATAGTACACGCTTGAAGAAAAACAGTAACTGTTATTCTTAAAACATCGTATAATATTAAATAAAAACAATCATTTTACGACATCAAAGAGACCCCACTATGCAGACGTGCAGATGTTTTTAAATTAAAATACAATATGTCATTCTCATAACTCCCACAGATAAATAATAACAAACAATTGCATAGAATTAATTAATTTTTCAGATTCCGAGGTACATTATTACACTGCACGAGCTGTTGGCGCACACTCCATACGACCATGTTGAAAGAAAAAGTTTGCAAAATGCGAGGCAACAACTGGAGGATTTATCGAGACAAATGCATGATGAGGTATTTAACTACTACTATGTATTATTATTTAATTTCTAATCATTTTTAAATTCGTCATTATTTAATTTGTAATCATTTTTAAATTCATCATTATTTAATAATTTTCATTAGTTTCATTAGGTCAAGAATATAAATTTGTAAAATTGCAAACTGACATATAAATTTAGGGGTGATTTTTTTACCTTTCATTTATTATTTTTACAGACTATTATTTTTATTGAAATTCACCGCTATATTTAGGGGTAAATTTTTATCCCTATTTATTATTTTTAAAGATTTTTGCAGATATATTGTACATGTGTCAAAGTTCAGTTTAACAAATAATTTTTAGTTAACAATGGTTACAATAATATTTTGTTATATTTTTATTATTTATTGCAGAGGAATTTTTCTGCAATTTTAATTCTATATTTTTGCAATAGAATTTGTAAAATTTTATAAAATGTAGAGGAAGATTGTATAGGGTGAATTTAGATGTCCAATTAATAATTTTCTTGTACCACAATCATCTATTATTGATTTCTATAGTAATGCATTGGGTTGGTCAAAAAATTGTATCATTTTTTAAGGAAATTCTCAAAATTTAACATATGAAACTTTACTATATAAACATTAGTTATTTTTGTAATGTATAAAGAATTATTATTGATCAAAATTTTGAACCATAGGTATTTTTAATTATGCTTGCTCTTGCAATACATTCGTTTATTACTTGAAATATTTCTGAAGCACATACTGACAAAAATCTGAAAGCAATTATTGCAATTTTTCAATAAACTAAACTCAACTTTTTCAAACATTTTTAAAAAATATTCCAGTTTCCCTGAAAAGCCATATACAAATTTTATTTCATACATTTCACTTATTTTTCCATGATCCATCTTGGTTCGTTCGTTGATTCATCTTTCGGAGGTACCCTTTCGAAAACGCCCTATATTTTTAATAAACTCCCGCAAAGTTATTTGTATATCTCAAAATATCAAGGTTTGTTAAAAAATAAAGAAAGACAAATAATCACTCACTGACAAAAATGATATTAATTTTTTAACCAATCCATGTACAAACAGTTATAAAATGTGCTATATTACACGTAGTGTTATATTATAATCGAGTTATATAGTAACTCCATTATAAAATATGTATTAACTAAGTTATTCGTTTCAGGTCAGCGAGACGGAGAATTTACGAAAAAACCTGGCCGTGGAGCGAATGATCGTGGAGGGTTGCGACATTTTACTCGATGTTAATCAAGTATTCGTGCGACAGGGTGAGCGATCTTATTATCTTGCCTGGTGCATTCAACATTTATGTCTGATGAGTTTCGCGAACGATTAAGGGAATTTATCGATAAAGTTCCGACCTTGTTAGTGAATAATTGCGTAGAAGGAATCGGGGAAGTTTCAACAAATGGCCGAAGTAAACAAAGTTTCGAACTAACACGGGATTTTCGGGTTTATGCGCAAGCGTTCGCGACATTTACAAATCTCTGCTCTTTTCCGAAGCTATACCTCCGCAATGCAGATCACGTTTTATATTTAAGCCGAGATTTGTAGAGTAAATTTGAGGGCAAAATTTTGCCGATACTTCTGGGAAAAGTATGTTAAAATAGTTTACCGATTGTTGCAACAGCTTTTATTTTATTTTTAATAATTGGATGCTGGAGGTAATTTTAAGTACAAAGAGAATATTGAGTAAAAAATTAATTGGAGTATCTATTGAATTTTTGGTAATTTTACAAATATTCGAGTTTATTATTTAGACATGAGAAATTAGGGTTGTTTAACTAAATAATGAACAATGTTTAATTTGGATGAAAATTTATTAACACTTTGCACTGCTATGTCGAGTGTGGTCCGACATTACATTTAATCTGAATAACATTTATCTGAATAATTGAGATAATAATTATATTATATATTATATGAATAATAGATAATAATTCAAATTACTAATTAGGATGAATCAATACTCTAGGAACAAGGTCGTACAAAAAATATTCTGCAAGTATGAAAACATCTTCAAACCTTAGCTTGAATCCAATTTCAATTGTTGCATTTCCTCGGGAACCTGTTAATCATTTCTATTGTATATTAATCCTAGTGTGGTGAAATTCTAAATTCTGGTCCAAGAAATATCTGGTCCTTAGATAATCCAGATAAAGTTCATAAATAAAGGAATATCTAGGTTCTTCAGTTAGAATAATCTTAGAAAACAGAGGAATCTAGCTATAGACACAGATATCTTTGGTAGACTCAACAGTTCTTAGATAATCCAGATAAAGTACATAAATAAAGGAACATCTAGGTTTTCCAGTTAGAATAATCTTAGAAAACAGAGGAATCTAGCTGTAGACTCAGACATATTTGGTAGACTCAAAAGTTCTCAGATAATCCAGATAAAGTTCATAAATAAAGGAATATCTAGGTTTTCCAGTTAGAACAATCTTAGAAAACAGAGGAATCTAGCTATAGACACAGACATCCTTGTTAGACCCAATAGTGCTTAGATAATCCAAATACAGATCTTGTATAAAGAAATATCTAGCTTCTTCAATCAGAATAATTCGAATAAAACAGTGAAACGTAGCCATAAATATTTTTGATAGACTAAACAGTTTGAACGTCTCACCCTTGCTCGACTGTCACGTGACTGTCAACGGGTTAAATCATTCCAGTGAAAAGTAACTTCAGTAGGAATTTACTTTGCCCTTATCTCCACAGCGTCGGTAACCAATCTTCCCTAGTTTCACCCCGAACGCCGGTAATTCACCCCCACGGTCGGTAAACCGGCATTTTAGTTCGAATCCACTCGTCAAGGTTCGGAAGTCCGTGAAAACCGGAAATTTCGTGGCCAGGGGCGCAAGCGCACCCTCGGAATCGATGGTGTGATACGTTCGCGTACACAATCTACGCCGAATTCGTTCGATCATGCGCACGAATAATATTCAGGGCTGTCACGGGAGCCCAAAATATTCCTCAAAAATATTCCCATGACTTTCACCACCGTCTACCCGCTCGACCATAACTTTTCAAGAAAACACGGAAGTCGGACCTAAAATGATGCAACCTATCTTTCCACCTTTTGAATAAAAATGGAAGACTACAATTCACATTTAAATTAATGTCGAATCGTCGACGGATGGGGAGGTTAAATATTTTCCCATAAATTGTCATTCGTTTAGGTGGAGATCGGAGGGAGACACGGGGTGTACAGCCCTGACTCCTCGTGTTTGATCTCGTATCACATGGTCACCACGCAAACGTCCTTTCATCTTTATAGTGCGCAGCCCCACCCGCCAAGCATTTTCTTGTTTTCTTCGACAAAATAGTGACATTATATGGCGGTGACGATCCGCGGGGACAGACATTGAGTTATCGGAATGTGCGGGACTCGTGTCGCGAGCTGACGTGCCCGGACATGAGGTTAACGGGGCAAAGAACGAAACACAAACACAAGCTTCATGATGACGTGCGAGCTAATTCGGCGGGGTTTGAAGATGTGAATAGTTTTGTCTAAAGGGCAATTGACTTTGTTATTGTGTGCAACGGGGACCAAGGAAGTATACAAATTGTACTGTTTGGGAACAAAGGACATTCAGGTAGACGGCCACGTTTTCTAGCGATGTTATTACGCACCGGTTATATGTAAACAGAATGTGTCGATTAATATTTGGATACTTGTGGTGAAATTAAGGGACTTATGCATTTGTTTTTTGGTGGAGGAAGTGATACGTCTTGAATTACTGAGTTTTTAAGGAAGATTGCATAATAGGAATAAAAAAGTGTTGTGAAGGTCTAAGGGTGTTAAAACGTAGGTATACGAAGAATTTCTTGAGATTTTTGGATGCATATTTTTGTTTACAGTATACTGAATAGAAATAAGTAAATGATAATGTAAAAAGGTATAACATTAATTAAGAGTGTTAAATGTGGGTGTACATGAAGGAAAATTATTAATACTTCTATACACAATTTTTATATAAACATTTTTGTGCACAATATGCTAAGTAGGAATAAGTACATGAGAAGGTAAAAACGTGTAACGTTAACTGAGGGTGTGAAAAAGTAGGTGCAGATGAAGAAAATTTGTTAATATATTTATACACAATTTTTGTATAAACATTTTTAAACATATAAACAAATTGAAAAATTTCTATAAAAGCAAGTAAAAAATATTTAGGAAAATTTCTATATAAACAAATAAAAAAATTTTCAGAAAAATTTCTATATAAGCAAATAAAAAAATTCTCGGAAAAATTTATATATAATTAAATAAAAGAATTTTGAGAAAAATTTCTATATAAATTCACTACTTTATTAACAAGTAGAAAGATTTTCAAAAAAATTGATTTTTATAAATAAGTTATATTAACACTTGTTTTTGTTTTCCAGGTGCTCTTATTCAGATCTTAGATAAGCCAAAAGGAGCTCGAAGTAGATTGAGCGCGACGTTCGGCGGTAAAGGAAGCGGCGATAAAGAAGCAGTGAGACAGTGCTTCCTTTTCTCGAATCATTTGTTACTAACGACACGTCAATCAGATGACGACGGTCGTTTGAATCTGGTTCCACAAATAGGAAAAATACCATTGTCGGATGCGGTGTTAGTGGAGGATCCCAACGACCAGAATACTGCGGATGATGACGGTATTACAATAATATTATTCTTTCGATTACGCTTTTTCTGCAGCTTTGTACAGTTATTTTAATTCTAGCAATATGCAATATGGCCGCCGTTAATCGCTGTAATATTACAGTTCTTAGTCATCGAATTAGGACTTTTCAGCATTTTTCACGTTTTCCATAAAATTGGCGACGGCACGTCACTAACGACGCGTGCGTGAACTTACGAAATCTAGCAAATAGTCAGTCAATGAAGTATTTGACATTTTTTATTTTCATCGTACGTCAATCTGTATTAGCTTAGTGAATGCAGTCAATTAGTTTATTGTTATCGAAGTTCTGCATTCTTTATGGCAAGTGAGAAACAAGCAGCGTTTAATAGTAGAAAAATGACTTCAAAAGATTAAATCAAACTTTTCAAAGCTTTTTCAGAGGTTTAAGTTACCATTTGCCAGCAGCAGAAATTATAGAATTTAGAATATTAAGCTGTTAAATTTTCAAACGTTGTCATTTTTAGAGCTTGTTATATAAAGAATTAGGTCCAGCGACTATGGTACACAAAATGGCCACGTGAAACAACGTGGATGACTACGTTACGTTACGTCGCAGTCATGTTTATGTTCAATGTTTTTCGTAAAATTAAAAGGCCTGTTCAAATTGTAATTATATAATTTATTAGCTACCATGATATTTCTGTACATAACATTAACACATGTTAAAATCTTGTATTTTCTTTGCTTTGGTCACAACTTGTTGCATGCTGCGTATACATTGATCATATGCTGTATGTCTTCATTATTTTCCCAAATATAATTCTTTTTAACTCAATGTGGTTGGTGAGTTATAAACTAGTCTTTTAGGCTTCGGACATTTTCTATGGCATTCACCAAATTTCACCTGACGCGCTATCGATACTCGAGCCTAACGTAAACGCATGGTCTTTAATCACTCATCACACAATTATCACGATAGTAACAAATTGCTATGTATATATCGTTATCAACGTATTTAATAATAATTTTGACCTAAGACAATTTTGCGTATCTGACATAATGTTATGAAAGTCATGAAAGTGAAATTTTCGTATGTGGTCCTAATTCGATGGTCAGGGACTGTACATTTAATTGAAATTAACGTAGTTGTTTTGACTACCATTAACCTTTAACTAATTTTTAAGGTCAATATGTTACAAGTTAATTAAGTACTGCTATTATTTGCAAAATGGACTTCGGGAGAAATATGATACGTGTAATGGGAACAGTTATGTTCGTAGTGCACGCATGATAATTAGATTGATGGTTATGTTTGGATGGGATGTTACAGAAGTTTAGCAATTGCTGAACGTATTGGATTAAAAAATTTTTAATTTTTAAACATTGAAAGTGGGGAATTCACTGTGATTCTACTTTTTGAGGTGTTGAATTTCCAAAAATTCAGGTACCTTGTTCTTCCATTTTTTATTTTTTTTATTTTTAAATTTCTAAATTTCCAATTCTCCAAATTTCTAATTTTCAATTTTTCAATTTTTCAATTTTTCAATTTTTCAATTTTTTATTTTTCTAATTTTCTAATTTTCTAATTTTCTAATTTTCTAATTTTCTAATTTTCTAATTTTCTAATTTTCTAATTTTCTAATTTTCTAATTTTCTAATTTTCTAATTTTCTAATTTTCTAATTTTCTAATTTTCTAATTTTCTAATTTTCTAATTTTCTAATTTTCTAATTTTCTAATTTTCTAATTTTCTAATTTTCTAATTTTCTAATTTTCTAATTTTCTAATTTTCTAATTTTCTAATTTTCTAATTTTCTAATTTTCTAATTTTCTAATTTTCTAATTTTCTAATTTTCTAATTTTCTAATTTTCTAATTTTCTAATTTTCTAATTTTCTAATTTTCTAATTTTCTAATTTTCTAATTTTCTAATTTTCTAATTTTCTAATTTTCTAGTTTTCTAAATTTCTAACTTTCTATATCCCGAAATTATTAAACCTGAAAATTACAGATTCTTGAAAGTATTCAATTTCAAAACTTCTAATTCTTCAAATCTTAAAATCTCCAAGTCACTCCATGTTTAAATTTTTAAATTACTAAGTTTCTCATTTTCCAAATTCCCAAATCCTCAAATCCCTAACTTTCCAAATATCCACATTAAAAAATCCCAAAACTCACAAATATCCAACTCACCCAATTACCAAATTTCCAAATTCCCAAAATCCATTTCGACATTTCAAGCATCTATCACTATAAAATACAAATCCTAAAAACACATTTAATTTTCAGTACACACATTGCACTCCTAGTTCCCTAAACAATTTCTCTAGTTCATCCGCAACGCTTCAACGCTTCTTTCGCTTCAGGACTGCCAGCCCAGCATTTGGTTGCTCTGCCTTGTGCCAAAAGAGTGTTCAATAATTTATAATATAATTAACGTAGTATTGCCATGACTGCGAACTGATTTTAGAACTGTCAGTATGTTCGATGTCCAGCGGTATCAGCGAGAGCAGCGGAAGTGGTAGCGGAAGTACCAACACACAGCTACAAAACCGTGATTTTAAGATTATACTTGATCTAAAATCTGGTGGACCTCAGGTGACGGTGCACCTTGTTGCTCCTACAATTCAGGTATTCTTATTTCTATCAATTTTATTTATTTATTACATTGTTGTCTGACTATTTCACACATCTATTTCGTGTCACTGATTATTATTTGTAAATCTGATTTCAATTTTATCTATGTCATTGAAATTGAACAATAAATTGTGTTAACAGTATATTGAAACCAAACTTGTTAACATAAAAAAAATTGAAACTGGGTTTATTAACATTTAAAGAATTGAAACTGAACTTGTTCTCAACATGTATACACATTATTCACATTATAATATTTCATAAATAATTCAATTTGTATATTTAATTTTTATATACAATACGTATTAAGAATAATCAAATTTGCAAAGTTATCTGCCTATACCTATTTAATATTTATGAACAAACTATTAAATAAAATATAGCAATATATTATAACAATTTTGGAGTAGTTTGTGAATCACCCTAATATAAATTATTAGAATTGCACACTTAAATTGTTAGCCACATTTAGTAATAAATTTTTAATATTAATTAAATGAATTATTGAACAAAATAACAAGACAATGAATTCTTTAGTTAATAAAAGAATTAATAATTTAGATATTAACATAGTAGTAACACAGAAATGATTAAAGTACTTGCTGCGTCATATGAACATCATAATTTTCAGTATTACTTCACAGAAAAATGACATTACTCATAAATGTTATATTTAATTCTAACCTAATCTAATTCTAGTTCTTAAAAATTTTGTTATATTTTTATCCATGTTAATAAGAAATAATAAGTATAAATATATGATTGATACAGGAAAAGGCCGCCTGGATCAGCGACATTAGCCAGTGTATAGACAACGTACACTTCAACGACTTGCTTCGTGGCTCGTTGTCGGACACCAGTTCCGTCACGATGCCTCAATCGATCAAAAACGACCCAAAGCTGTTTAAAGATGACGTTGATATCAGATTTAGCAGGACCTTGAATTCCTGCAAGGTCCCGCAGATTCGATCGGCTACACCTGAACGCCTACTTCAGCGTCTGACGGATCTGCGATTTCTCAGTATCGATTTTCTCAACACGTTTTTGTTAACGTATCGAGTGTTCACCGATGGAGTAACCGTGTTGGAAGCCTTGAAGAAAGTGTTCTACGAAGCTGAACCACCGGATTCGGAAATTCCGACGGGTTCTCTTGTGTAAGGGGTAGTTTTAGCTATGAAGCTTTTCTTGGTGTAAAGAGATTTAATGTGACATCCCAGTTTATCTTTGCTTTGGTTTCATATTAAAGTTTATTGATGTTCGTCGACGATCATATTCTCTAGCTTTTACAAATCATAGAAATTTGATTCTATTTTGGAAGCAAAAAGTAAATTTTCAAGTATGAAAAAAGTAAGTTTTTAAATATAGAAAATGTAAGAGATTCGGGAATAAATAAACTGGGTCTCATATTAGAAACCCATTTCTTTATGGATGTTTGCATCATTTTTGTCATTATTTATTTATTTATTTTTATTTTTTTTTTTTAGTGAATTGAATATTTTGTACTGTACTTTTTAGTAAAAGTTATTTGAGCATTTTTAAAAATTGTGAATTTTCGCAAAAATGTTTTAACAGAGTTATGATTCATTAAAAGAGGAAAGTTGCAAGGTTGCTTCATTTGTAACAATTTTTATTTAGAACTTGTGTCATTATGCTATCGCAAATTTGTGTATCTTTCTGTGAAATTTTGTGTCTTATTCATACTTGTAGATATAGAAGGTGAAATAATTTGTTAATTTTCTACCTTTGTACATTTAAAAAGTTTCATTCAGAATTTTATTAAATAAATAGAATTTTTATTTATCGTTACAATATTTTTATTTGTAATTCTGTGAACTACAGTATTTTTTTTACTTTTGTTACGGTTACAGTATTTTTATTTGCAATTTTATCGAGTGTCACGATATTTTCATTTACAATTTTATCCACTGATACAATATTTGTATTTATTGTTTTATCGACTGTCGCAGTATATTTATTTATTGTTGTACGCATTGATGCAGTGAATTTATTTGCAATTTTATCCATTGATACAGTATTTGTATTGATTATTTTATCGACTGCTACAATATTTTTATTTGCAACTTTGTCCACTGATAAAATGTTTTTATTTGTTATTTTATCGACTGTTACTATATTTTCATTTGTACTGCTATCATCTGTTACAATATTTACATTTGCAACTTTGTTCGTACTACAATATTTTTATTTACAATTTTATCCAGCATTATGCGATTTCAGATTTTGCCAAGAACAAATTTCCTCTCCTAATTTTATCTGTTATTAAATTATTACTTCTGAGTGATTGACTTTATTATTAAACATAACGAAATATAATTGCATTTTCAGATCACTGGATGTACTGGGTGCAGGTACAACAGAATCGCAGCTGCATGTCGATGATCGAAGAAGAAGTAGTATCTCACCACGAAGAACTAGTGGAGCTAGTTCTGTTTCTGGTAAAACATTCAATTCAAAATAAAAATATTGATTTGACTGTTTGTTACATTTTTTTGCAAATACTACATATAGTAAGGTACAATAAATGTGTAATATTTTATAAGACGCTAATAAACAGCTGATTTTGTAAATCAACACTTGTTGCACTGCGTAAAGAGCATCTGTTTGTGTTCGAAGGTTATGGATCGGAAATCAGCGACAGTCGCGACGCAAAATGTCACAGTTCCTGCGAATCCGGTGGTTATACACTCAATTCGAAAGGTTATTGGCGAGGTGGATACCAGAAAGGTAAATTAAAGCAATGTATAATACAGTAGCCTTAGACTACCGTTATATTGCCATAAAGAAGTATCGAAAAGTCCTTGAAATTTGTTATGAATTACAGAACCTTCTATAATAAATTATGGCACCTCAATTAGATAACTAAATAATTCATAAAGTAGATACAATAAAGTTAAAGCTGGAACTATCTACTTAAAATAGTAAAGACTAGATTAGATTAGTAAAAACTAAATAGACTACTAGCTCAATTCGTTGTTTTCAATAATGCAACAGCGCCATCTGCATGAAGTTAAATATAAAACGTAACAGTACACAGTCTCACAGCTCAAATATGACTTTACTCAAACTTTTAATACTCTTCAACTTGAAATTAAGCAACCATAATCTGTGTAGTCAAGAATCGCTAAATATAAAATACTCGCATTTTAATTTTCTTTGTTTTAATATTATAGATATGAATTTGAAGTTTTGACGCATCTGACAGATAAATTGTGCGGTAAAGGGTTAATATAGCTTGTAATTAAAATTTGTGGTTCAAAGCTTTATTATGGCAAGAGATCGTGGGAGATTTATCGACCTCTGTTTATACGAATATTAATTACTTGATTAATTTCAGTGGACGAGGAACAACCCTTGGGCATGACCACAGTAGCTCCTTCCATCATAAAACGTAGTCCCACCATTCAATCTTCCACTGCGTCCATTGGTTCTCAGTCTTCGGCAACACCTCACAAAATCAGTATCCGCGTGGACAAAGAAAAGAAGGAAGAAGATGATGGATGTCATTTGACCATACCGAAAGTAATAGCTGTTTCCTCGAGCGCTGAAACTCTTACGGGTAAGAAAATCGCAAGTTGGGGAACTCTCTACCCCGTTTGTCCTAACCTAACTTAACCTAGCCTAATTCTTGGAGGATTTTGGTTCACTTTAAGAAAGTTTAATTCGCTAACAAAAAGGCGTACGTGGCACGGTTTGACTCGTATATTTGTATAAGTGAATGGTGGGGATGAGGTTTTGTATTTGGATGAATGTCCCACAATTCTTGTATTATGTATTTTAGATAACACTGTAGTGAGTGCACCATCCTCCCCGAGTAATTTGAGTTCCGTGACCTTAGTTGGATCCACGGGATCAGGATCGGGTTCTGGATCTGATCGAAGTCCACAAGATGGAGTCACATACTCGCGAGGCGCATCCGAAGAAACTGATACACCTGTTGCAACGGAAGCTCCAAAAGATGGTCAGATTATTATACGTTCGCATTAGCTATTAACTAAATTTACTAAGTAATACTATTATTAGAGTTTTTTACAATTAATAAATTTGTGGTGGCTCACGTTTAAATATGCGGCACACTCTATTCCCTTTTAAAAATGCTAAAAATGCTGAACTTAATTTACGTACTTAAATGTAAGTAAAATGTGCTTAATTTTGTTCTTTTTGAATTTTGTCAAATTTCGGAATAGATTTTCTTTGTGTACATGTTTGTTTATATTTTTGTCGCCTTTTACACAATTTTGAAAGGAAGGGTAAAAATGTTTCCAAATGAAAAATTTGTTTAAACAAAAAACTTAATGGTTTTTAATGATAAAATTAATGATTTGTAAAAATAATTAATTTGCAATAATTGAACGAATCGATTTAGTAATCATAACTTGTTACTAAATCGCTTAATTTAGTAATCACAATTTGCTTGATTAAATTTACTATTTAATAATAGTAATCAAATAAATAATAATTTATGAATTGAATAATCGTTTATTAATTCTGCTATGAATACAATCACCATCAAATTTAGTAATAATTATTAACCAGAAATGAATTCCCGATTTATCGCTCAATTAAACTAGAAATTAATTCTCGATATTGTTACCATTAAAATAGCAATAATAATTTGCAAACAGCAATAATGTGACAAAGATAACAATGTACTAATATTAATGGAAAAACAATTAATAAAAAGTAATATCTATTTGATTACAAATAAATGATTAAACGCCGAAAACGACAAAGTTAGATGTTAATAAAGTTATATGATTAATAATATAACGCTACTAATAGCATAATAATTTATATTTTCAGTTGGCGATCTCAGTTGCGAAGACTCCGAGCCCGAAACCCCAAAACTGTCGAAAGAAAATAAAACTCCGCAAACACCGCCAACTCCCCGAGAAAAGCAACCCGAAACAAGCGAGAAAGAAACGAGCAAACAAGAAAAAGAGAAACAATCTGCTACGGAAAGTGATACAAGCAGCTTGATCGTGCAGATGCAATCATCTCAACAGTCTCAGCAAAAACAATTCCATCATTATGAACACAGAGCGTCGATTGCATCTGCTCCTGCGGCTACTGCGAGAAGCAGCTCCATCTCTACTATTACTGGAGTATGTTAACTGAACATATACTATTTGCTTATTACATATATATTATACTTCTTTATGTTTGTATAATTCTTATGTTATTATTATTCTATTCTGTTATTATTATTTTAGTATTACTTGTGAAATCTTGAGATCTTTAGTTCGTGGATTGTAATATGAGTTTAGTGTAATATGAACGTTTATTTATTATTGGTAGTTACATTTATTTATACTTACTTCATATTAATTTCTTACATTCATTTGTAATTGTATTATATTTATTTTGTTTTATACATTCAATTGTATTCTTCTTATATTTATTTATATATAAAACTTCTTAAGCTTAGTTATTTGGCATGTGATTTCTCAACGATTACACTTATTTTGCGTACTGGCGAATTTGAAGCTTGTTTTGTGTAATTTTACGAAAAAGTAATATTAAATTTATGTTTCAAATTCACTTAGTCAGGATTTTTAATTCTTGAATTTAAAAGATCATGTATAGAAATTTTCAAGTTTACGATTTACAATCTACTAAAATTTCCGAGTAACATATATAAAGAATAAGAAATTTGAAAGTAAGGAAACTTCTAAATCTCTGAGTTTTTAAATTTCAAAGTTCGTAATCTCCCTTTCTAAATAACTGAACTCCAGTATTTTCAAATTTTTCAATCACATATAAAAAATTTTCAATATCTCGAAATATTCAAATTTCAACATTTTTAAATTCTCAAATTCTTAGACTTCGAAATATCTAAATATCCAAGTTTTCCCATCTTCATATTCCTAGGTTCCAAAATCTACAAATTTAGTTCTACAAATTTCTGTATCCCTAATAGTCAACAGTATCCCTAATGTTCAACAAGAAATTATTACACGAAGTGTAATAATGTTTCTAACATAAAATGGTAATTTTGCAATTTGAATACTTGAAATATGCATTTGTGTATGTATATATTTCTTCCAGTCTACATTTCTACAATTTTATACTTTTGTGTTTTTACATTTCTACATTTCTACGTTTAGACATTTCTACATGGCTATTGTTCCATACTTTTACATATCTATATATCAATATTATCTACATTGCTTCATTTTCTACATTTTTATATTTTCTACACTTCTACACTTCTACACTTCTACACTTCTACACTTCTACACTTCTACACTTCTACACTTCTACACTTCTACACTTCTACACTTCTACACTTCTACACTTCTACACTTCTACACTTCTACACTTCTACACTTCTACACTTCTACACTTCTACACTTCTACACTTCTACACTTCTACACTTCTACACTTCTACACTTCTACACTTCTACACTTCTACACTTCTACACTTCTACACTTCTACACTTCTACACTTCTACACTTCTACACTTCTACACTTCTACACTTCTACACTTCTACACTTCTACACTTCTACACTTCTACACTTCTACACTTCTACACTTCTACACTTCTACACTTCTACACTTCTACACTTCTACACTTCTACACTTCTACACTTCTACACTTCTACACTTCTACACTTCTACACTTCTACACTTCTACACTTCTACACTTCTACACTTCTACACTTCTACACTTCTACACTTCTACACTTCTACACTTCTACACTTCTACACTTCTACACTTCTACACTTCTACACTTCTACACTTCTACACTTCTACACTTCTACACTTCTACACTTCTACACTTCTACACTTCTACACTTCTACACTTCTACACTTCTACACTTCTACACTTCTACACTTCTACACTTCTACACTTCTACACTTCTACACTTCTACACTTCTACACTTCTACACTTCTACACTTCTACACTTCTACACTTCTACACTTCTACACTTCTACACTTCTACACTTCTACACTTCTACACTTCTACACTTCTACACTTCTACACTTCTACACTTCTACACTTCTACACTTCTACACTTCTACACTTCTACACTTCTACACTTCTACACTTCTACACTTCTACACTTCTACATTTCTACACTTCTACACTTCTACACTTCTACATTTCTACACTTCTACACTTCTACACTTCTACATTTCTACACTTCTACACTTCTACACTTCTACATTTCTACACTTCTACACTTCTACACTTCTACATTTCTACACTTCTACACTTCTACACTTCTACATTTCTACACTTCTACACTTCTACACTTCTACATTTCTACACTTCTACACTTCTACACTTCTACATTTCTACACTTCTACACTTCTACACTTCTACATTTCTACACTTCTACACTTCTACACTTCTACATTTCTACACTTCTACACTTCTACACTTCTACATTTCTACACTTCTACACTTCTACACTTCTACATTTCTACACTTCTACACTTCTACACTTCTACATTTCTACACTTCTACACTTCTACACTTCTACATTTCTACACTTCTACACTTCTACACTTCTACATTTCTACACTTCTACACTTCTACACTTCTACATTTCTACACTTCTACACTTCTACACTTCTACACTTCTACACTTCTACACTTCTACACTTGTATATTTCTAAGTGTCTAAGGTTTTTTTAAACTTTTAAATAATCAAGTATTTGAATCTTTAAATTTCGAAGTTCTCCAATAATGACCAAATAGCAACCAGTGAAGACCACTTCTCCCTCGTTTCAACACAGTATCTCCACGGAATCCACGCACATTTTCGATTGTCTGTATTGAAATTTTCGTTTTGCAGAACTACTGGGCCAGCAGACGATCGATTCAAGAAACCGAATTGTCCTCCCAAGGGAATTTCCAGCACGATCAAGCGTCCAGCAAAGCTGGAGTAGTGATAACCAGTTTCCGGCAAAGTCAACGAAGGTTCGTTCGAGTATTCCTGACGTGTTTAAGTGTTTACATCCATACATTGTTGTACACATTATTAAGAAGTGCGCATGTCGATCGATCTGAGGTTTTTATTTCCTGACGATTATTATACAATTACATTGTTCCATAGAGAATCGATTAAGAGTAAAAAGATCGCTCGGTGTATTCGTTGAAAAGGGATAGCATGCAATTTCGAGGAGTGTACTTGAACAAAATGGTAGAATATTGTTACGACAAAATGACGGATCGGTGCTTCTGTTGAACACGTGGCCTTGAATATATATATATATATATTTATATATATTACATATTATTAAGGAACTGAGTTGTACATGCGTCTGTAATGTTCGATGAAAAATGAAAGAAAAGAAATTATCTCTATTTCGTTTCACGGTATCGCTATTGAATGTTGATTGTAATAAAGGTATTTTTCACTTTCTTACGCATGAGTGCTTTGTCTCGGTATCTTACATGTTTTCTTCCGCCTATAATAAATCTTCCTTTTCTTTTTGTAGACAAAGGTATTCGTATATTTCTGCCCTTATTTATCGACTATTATACTGCATAATTTTATATTTTCTCACGTATCACTTATCCAGTCTTCCGATTTCTTTGATGATCGTTTTCTTAATCGACTTTCATTTTTTATGTGTTATTAGTAATTTCGTTTTCATTTTTTGAAGAATTAAGAAATACGGATTATTTCTAGGAAATGTTTTTTTGCTGATTTTTTGAAAGTATCAAGTTTGCAACGTTTCTATCTTGTAAATGGAGATATTTGGTTGATATTGGGTTGCATGTCGAGTGGAGGACTTTGAAATAGCGATTTGATATAATTTGGTGGGGGAAATATTAAGTTTACTTTTCCTCAAGCATTTTGAGGATTTAGAATTTATACGTGCTTGAATTTCCAAATTTTCAAATATATATATTATTAAATTTTGCAGGATTAAATTACTCAATTTTTAAAAATATTTTAACTTCAAACTTAGAACATTGGTAAATCTGAAATAATTTTAAAAATTTTTTAGCTAAGTTTTTTTGAAATAGAGTTACAAATTTCTACATTCAAACATTTGAAATAAAATTTTTAATTTTTAAACTTGAAACAAAATTCTTATTTTCTAAATTTGAAATAAAATTAAAAATTTTTTAATTTTACATAAAATTGTCAAATTCTAAATTTCAATATTTTTAAATTAAAAATAAAATTCTGAACTTTTAAATTTGAAATGGAATTCTAAATTTCCAAGTTAAAAATAAAATTCTGAACTTTCAAATTTGAAATTAAATTCTAAATTCCCAAATTTGAAATAAAGTCTTAAATTTTTAAATTTCAAATAAAATTGTCAATTCCTAAATTTGAAAATTTCTAAATTAAAAATAAAATGCTAAACTTCTAAATAAAACTCTAAATTTCTGAATTTGAAAATTCCTAAATTTATAATAAAATCGTTTTACAAATCTGAAATTTTATATTTTACATTTATTAAAATTATCAAGTTTCGCAGTTTGATCGTTTTTACAAATATTCGGGAAAAATATTTTTACAAATATTCGTAAACTTAAAAATACAAATTCGTAAAATTCGAGTACATTGAGATTTCTAAATTCAAAAATACAAAAATCCATAAACTATAAAATACAAATTCGTAAAATTCGAGTACCTTGAGACCCATAAATTGAAAAAATACAAAAATGCATAAACTAGAAAATATAAAAACAGTGAACAAAAGCTCATCATTTCAAAATTGACAAAATTAATAAATTTCAACTCATCCAACTTTCCAAACCAAAAAATCTAAAATTTGGAAATCCAAGTTCTCAAATCTGTGTCCTTCAAACTCTGCCATTCGATACGCAACCAACGCAACTCGATTAAACAGTACAATTAGGGATGCTTCTATTCTACACTTATTCATTTGCTATTTCGAATACAATATCCCTTTAGAGATTCTTGAGGTTAATTCCTTAATCCTGGATAATACTTTAGTTGTTTTAATGCAATTGTATTTCATATGTCGTTTTGTGTCACTTATAGCGTTCGACCTGAAGCTATCTGGTAAGTATCATCATTTCTGCTTCTGGGAAAGTGCAACTTTTCACTTTGCGTGGCACATGGCGAGCTATGTTTCACCGAATCACTTATTATACATTCCTATGTACATTTACTGTTTGCACTTGGTTAGTGTACTGTACACGCATCTCACGAGTTGGCGTGTGGAGTGATCCAAACAAATAGGTGTTTACAAGCGCAAAGGCTTTAATTGGTCAAAATGGAAAAATTATACAATTGAGGATCGTTTTCACTATGGTGTACGATTGGACCGTTTACACTATGGTGTACGATTGGACCCTTTACGCTATGGTGTACGATCGGACCATTTACGCTATGGTGTACGATCGGACCGTTTACACTATACTAGTAAGCTGTAATAGTGACACGTACAAGTACGCAGTCGAATTTTTGAATTCTCATTTTGCCCGTACCAGATCTGTTAGAAAAGGAAAATGGTTACTTTCCTTTCTTGCCTTTCTTACACCTCTGCGTTGTGTGGAGCTTCTTTTTTTACTTCACGTGCCAACTCGTGGGTTGAGATCCGTAACTGCAATCTGACTTCACTAAAATTCACCTGTGCTGCATTCACCTATTGTTGTATTAATACATTTCAGATTACTCATTTTTGTATGCTAAACAGATCTTTTAATTACTATATATAACATGTACATTAAATGTATGATATTACTATATAGATATAACATGTGTGTGATATATGTATAGTATGTATACATATAATATCATGTATAAATTAGTGTAGGTTCCTGAAATGGGGGGTAGCTGACGTGATTCTGAATAATT